TATACATTTGGTTTATAAATCGTCAATAAATAAATATTTGTTACATTAATCTCAATGAACGGTATCCTTAGGCCTTATAGAACGAGCGAATGACTATTGGTTTTGAAAAAAATAAATAAAAATATTATTAGAAATATGAATATAAAATTTATTAAGATAATTTATTTCATTTATTTAATATAATAATCAGTTCATTTACCACAACTATAGGTTTATCATTAAATAGATATCCATTGGTCTCATTGAGGGCTTTCTGAGCACACGATTCATCAGGTAATGTAATAAATGCCTGTCCTTTCATGCGTCCAGTTTTCATTAGTTGGATGTCAAACCTATTTACAAAATATTAAATTAAAATACAATTCTAATAAAAAAGTATCAAGATTATAAACAAAGAGAAAGATTACATATTGCGGTGAATCTCTGACTCCCAATCAATAAATTTACTGTAAATCCTCATCAAGTCATTTGTATCGACACTTTTATCTATATTTTTGACATACAGTCGAATGGATATCTCTCCGGAGCTATAGTTCCTAAACACCGGATATTTCATCCATTGAGTCTTTAATATCCTATTTGTTGCCAACTCTTGATCAGTAATCATGTTATTTATGTCCCAAACTATTTCACAACTCTTTTCCATTTGTTGTTTCTTCGCGGCAGTCATTACACCAAAACCAGTGGTCGGAACTGTCGCCTCTTTAGCGGTCGCAGCGCTCGACTCATTCATTGTCCGACAATTGGACACAATATTCACCGAAATATTAGTTACAGACTTGGGTTCGCAAACCACCGGCACGTCAAACACTTCGGGCAACGGCTCTACAGAGGGTTTGGCCTTTCGTTTGCGTTTCGACTCAAACAACTCGTCGACAAACACCGCTCTCTCGCCTACAAAACCAGTTCTCAACTTCTTCTTCACTCTCTTCCGTGGTTTCGCAACATTTGCCGCAATATTCCTCGCATTCGGGTCTTCACTATCACTCACTTCCAACTCGGACTCCGACGAACAGATGAGCATATCTTTAGCACCACTCGTATCACTCGTGGGAAACGTTAAAATGTTGGGCCTATTGATGGCGTGGGCGTCGAAGGGCACCGGGAGATTCATTTTGTTCATGAGATGCAGCACTTGCGTGTAAAACCTCGGGTGCGCCAGAAGTGTGTGCGCGATGTTGTCGACAATGAAAGGCGTGGCCGTGGGATAGGTGTACCGGAGTAGAGGTGAGGGCAGATAATTGAGGCCAAGCGCTGGTGAGGTATAATTCAATTGATTCACAAATTCCCTTAACTTTATCTCTTTCAACGACTCCAGACTTTCTTCGTGTGATTTCCTATGGGTTTGCGAGAGAAAGACAAATTAAAATCATGTCAAACTCGATGGCCATCGGGAGTAAGAAGTGGTGATTACTGTTGAACATGCGGTTCACTGATTGGCGGCAATTGTGTCACCGATTGGCCGCAATTGAGGGCAAACTCGACGCGAAGTCTTTGCCCCAAAACCAACAACTGATGCAATCGTTGCATCGCTTCCCGCGATTGCGACTCGTTTTCAAACAATACGTACGAATAGTGAGGCTTTCAATGGATTCAATGGATCAGCATTTGAGTGACAATTCATGAAATGATAGAAAATATGTATGAAAATCAATACCAGATTAGTGACGGTCTGTCCACCAAAATGTCGGAACAGTTCCTCCCTTTCATTGTAACTCAGTTTCGGTGATATATTTTTCACGATCAATGTATTCATTACTATTAACACACTTTTGTCGCACTCATTGTAACCACAATTTAAGTTATGTTTTGATTGCAAATCAATTTCATGTTTTTCGCGATTTTTGGATGTTTTGGTTTCAAAATATATTTACAAACAATTGTGTTGTCATAACGACTACTCGTTCACTAATAACGCTATGAAGTGTTATGTTATAAACTTTAGTACCCTTTGAGTTGCTATTTAGGGGTTTGTGGGGTCAGTGTTACCGCATATTTGGATTCCTCCCGAATAATACATAATTTAATTTCTGTGTCCGTGAAGTAATATTACAAATAATACAGTTACTTAATGAATATTAGCTTGGTCATGTGATGCAGTTCAACGTTAAAATTCCTTAATTAAGTTGGTATCATAACCCGGATATAACTTTTAGTGAATTAATTTAACTAGCACTCCAATAAATTTAATTAGATTTTATGGTCTATTAAATTGTAGAAATTATTAATAAATTGTGTTAACTTTATTTATAAAATATTTATAAATCCGAACCAATAGTTTAATTTAGTTATAAAATACAATAAAATTTGTATATTCAAAACTCAATATAAAATTCAGATACAAATAATTCAATTAATAATAAA